TCAAAGAATATCAGTGGGCAATTTGTGTCCCACTTTTAATAATAGAACTAGATAGCACATCAGCAAGAAAATAGAAGACTTGAGCAGACTATTAGTCAGCTAGTTCTGGCATACTCCTCCTGCGTAAAGAAGAATGCACATATTTTTCAAGTGTTCTTGGAATATTCTTCAGGAAGATAATGTACCAAGCCATAAAAAATCTTCATAAGTGTAAAGAATGAAATATTATGAAGTATATTCTCAGACCATAATGGAATAAAATTAAAATCCATAGCAGAAGAAAATCTGTAAAATTTACAAATACATAGAAATTAAGAAACTTATAATTAGCTACTGATTCAAAGAAGGTATCACAAGAAATATTAGATATAAGATACATGAAAACAAAGACACAACATGCTATAACTTATGGAATCCATAAGTTCTTAGAGAGAAACTTGTATCTCTTAAACAGCTTGAAAATTTTGAATCTCTAAGTTTTCCAAAAAAAGACAAATGATATTGAATTAATAATCTAAACTCCCTCCTTAAAAAGCAGAAATATAAGGGCAGACTAAATCCAACTCAAGGAGAAAAAAAGTAATAAGCATGATAGCAGACACAAAAGAATAATGACCATAGAAAAAAATCAACACACAACCATAAATGAGTTTTTGGAAAGATTAAGATAATTGATTTGTCTTTAGCTGGGATGACTAAGAAAAAAAAAAAAACCTTAAGTTTCTAAAATTCTAAAAACTTGTTATTTCCATTGCACTTAAAAGTTAAAAAAAAAATTAAAAAAAGAATTATAGCAGAGCTAATGTGTACAACCTAGAAATGAGCCAATTCTAGAAAAAAATTACCAAAACTGACTTAGGATTATGAATAGACCTATAACAGGTAAAGCTATGAAGTTAATAATCGAAAAACTTCCAATCAAGAAAAGCTTAAGGCCAAGTAGCTTCATTAGTGAATTCAGTCAAACATTTTAAAGAAGAATACCAATCTTTCTCAAACCATTCCAGAATACAGATGAGGAGGAAACACTTCCTGATGTATTCTGTGAGGCTATATTACCAAGATACCAAAAGTAGACAAATATTAAGAGAAAAAAAAAGTACAGATCTATATTCCTCATGAATACAGCTGTAAATGTCCTCAGCAAAGTACTAACGAAGTGAAACACGTTTGTAGAGGGTCACATATCATGACCATGATTTATTTCAGGAATTCAAGTGGTTGCACCATATAAAAATCAATCAATTTAATATAACATATTTATAGAAAATGGGGGCGGGGACTCAAACAACCTTCTCAAAGAACATAGAAAAACATTTAATAATATCCAGAATTCTTTATGATAAAAACATCCAACAAATTATTTAGGTCATTAAATCTGAAATGCCTTATTTTAGATCAAATGTTTAGTTTATTGGATCTCAAACAAGAAGCAGCACAATTAATCACAGTACGTGCCTAAACTATTGACACACTTTTGCCATCTTAATGGAAGAGAGTGAGTGGCAATGAAATTGATAAGAAAAGAATTACACAGAAGCTTGATGACACACCACATTGAGTCTCTGAAAAGATAAAACATGGATAGACCTCTTTTTAGCCAAAAACCAAAAAGAAAGGACTCTAATAGGCTGAATCAAAAATGAAAAAGGAGAAATCACCACTGATATCATGGAAATACAAAATATCTCTGACTACTATGAAAATCGGTACTCACATAAACTGGAAAATGTGGAAGAAATGGACAAATTTTTGGAAACACACACCCTCCCTTGGCTGAATCAGGAATAAATAGAACTGCTGAACAGACTGATATCAAGCACCAAAATTGAAGCAGCAATTAAAAAAAAAAAAAA